AAAGGCTGCCCATGCCCACAGGAGAGTCCACGTCCTAAGTGTTGCCCAGCAGACACCATCTCTGAGCCCCTGTGCATCACCCATTCAGCCAGGAATCATGGAGTGATGTGCCCAGTGATCCTGATTGCAGCTTGGACCTGCCCTCCTTCTGTGCCTCAGTTTCCCCACGAGCTGTGGCTCTGGTGCCACTGACACTGTGGCTACAGTGCCAGGGGACATACAGAATTGTGGGTGGCATCTCCAGCAGTGTATCCCACAAACTGTGCAGTCCAAGAGATGCCTATTCCCAGTGGCAGGCAGGGAGGCAACAGCATTTTCATTTGCAAGTGGCAGATTTACCAAAACACGGGGAATTTGCCCCATTCCCCGTGGAAGACACTGGTGAGGCAAATCAGCCTAGTTGAACTGCAAATGTGAAGGTGGATTTTACAACCTGTGCTGATTTTATGATTAATTTCTGTCCATTAACTCACCCCAGGGGCTGATTGACATCCCTGCCACTGACACCACTTGGTCTTGGAGCATCAGAGAGCCAAAGCTGCAGCAGGCAGTGAGGACTGGGCTTTAATGTGTGACAACTTTTGCCTTTCCAAAGTTATTTTGGCTCCAGGGTGCTGCTTTTTTCCCATCCAGTTTCTTGTTCCTCGATAAAATGATCCTGCCCTGGTAACACATGATCTGCCATGCAGTAGCATAAGAATTTTCCCACTGTGAGAGCCCAGCTGATTGTGGTTATCTTACAGAGATCTGGTAAGAGAAAAGCCTTCCTAAGAGGGGAAAAAACTTTTTAGGGACTAATTATGTCCCAAAGCAAACAGAAAGTGCTCTCAAGTTAAAGGACTCAGAGATTCCAGTGATTCTAAAGTCAGATAATGCCATTTCACTACATTTGCTTCATAGTGAAGGATGAATCACTTTTTTGAATACATATTGCCTATCTAAATCTATTACTATCTAGATTAAAACCTATCTAGATTAATATCTATATAGGTTTTAATCTAGATTAATATCTAGATAGATAGGAAAAGCTATTTTATTTCCCTTCCATCCCATCCCTTGCAGGGTTTCACGGGGCTCAGTCCTGCAGGGCAGGGTTGGTGCCATCCTCCTCCATAAATTCCCAGAGGAGACTGAGCAGAGAAGACTCTCCCTGGTGCTGAGGGCTAAGGATTGTCAGGGCATCCAGCAGCCTGAGATGCTACCTGGATCCCCACAGTTTGGGAATGTTGTCCCAGGGACTACACTTGAGCTCTCCAAGTCTTTTACTTTGCTTCAGGAGGGATCAATCTAATTAACACAAGTGGCAAAGCTGCTCACAGCACTCTATAAATAGACTGGTGGGTTCTGACACAGCTCCTGGCTATGCCAAGAAATGAGACTAATAATAGCTGCTTAACGATGAAGTTCAGGGGGCTGGAGAGATTAGGGAGAGAAAATGCCAGGATGGGCTCAACTCTGCCATGGAAATCAGCTGGGCAAGCATGGAATCATAGACTCCTAGAATGATTTGGGTTGGAAGGAACCTTAAAGCTCATCTTGTTCCAACCCCCTGCCATGGGCAGGGTCACCTTCCACCAGCCCAGGTTGCTCCAAACCCTGTCCAACCTGGCCTTGGACACTTCCAGGGATGGGGCAGCCACAGCTCCTCTGGGCAACCTGTACCAGGGCCTCCCCACCCTCTGCAGCATCCAAACAGGTGGCCGAGGAAGCGCTGCTGGAGGGAACAGCTCAGCACAGGGGGCACAGAGCCCATCGCTGCCACACTGGCAGCTCCTGCTCCTGAAGACAGTTTGGAGACAGTGGAGCCAAGCAATGCTTTTTCTGGCTAAAAAGCAGAGATTTCTCCCGGAGCCAGGGTCAGGGTCAGGGTCAGGGCCCTGGCAGCACCCCCAGTCCTGCACCTCAGCCTCTCATGCTCCCCCAGCCCCTTCCCCTCCCACCGCTCCTGCTGCCAGGGAGAAACTCCCAGCTGGGCTTTTGTCACCGACGCACACGTGTTTCTGCAGGACGCTTCTATTTCTATGAGTAGCAATTTTTCAAGCAACTCCTCCCCCGCCTGCTCCCCTTCAGCAGGAGCCCTGACGAACGCCGCTGGCATTCCTGGAAGCTGCGACTCCCTCCTGCATGCCAGCCCCGGACAGAGCCTCCATCCCCCGCCCTCCCATCCCACAGCGTGTCCTGCAGCTCCACGTCATGGGAATTACGCTCACGGTATCCTGCAGAGGGTCAAATGGAGCCGGGACAGCTCCACGTACCGGGCTCCCGGTGCTCACCGTTTGCCCTGGGACAGGAAGGGGCTCCGAAGAGGGGAAGGAGCCTGGGAGAGCCAAGCCTGCTTGAAAGTCCCCAAAACAGCGGCACTTCTGCTTGGGGAGCACCAAGATCCCCAGGAACGTCCTGGCATGTCCAGCTGGCCACGGTTCTCCAGCCCCAGCTGTGCAGAGGAGCCAGCAGATGATTTTTGTCTTTGATAAAACCCAAACACGCCCCCCCCTCACACACCTCCGAAGTGCTGGAGCCATGTCCCCCAAAACTGTAGCAGTCTCCAGCCCTGTTGTTCCCCTCCTGATGTACCCCCTGCTTGGGTGAGCCTCCCAGTTTGGGACCAGGGACTTTAAGGGCACTTTGGACCCACTATTTCCATTAGAAGCCACCTGCAATACTCACCCTTGGATCTCTATCCAGCATAATTAATGGATGCAATTGTCATGGGAATATTAATTTCTGAAGAAGGGGGGTTGCAGGGGGTCCAGGGCAGAAGCAGTGGCTGTGGGATGAGCTCTCTACTGTGGATCACTGCTCATCTTTCTCACTGCACCCACGGAGTGTGGCTTTTTCCCCAAGAGAGGTGAAGTCATCAAGTGCTGTGCCCTGGCTCCAAGGACCATGGTGATTTCTCCATCCCAGCAAGTGGGACAGGGAAAGGCACTGACACCATCTGGATGGCTTCCATGCATCCAGGCCATGCTTCTCAGCATCTGTGCTGCTGGGCACAGAGCTGAAATGAAAGCAAACAACACGAACGGTGCTGTTCTGCTGCTCTAAAAACATTATTGAGCATTCCCACTTCTGTTTCAGATGGAAATGTGGCCTTAGAGGCTGGAATTATCAAAAGCAGCCCTGGGAAGGAAAAACAGCTGGACAAACTGCTGACTGCAGCTGCCTGGCTGGCAAATAAAGCGAGTGCTCCCAGAGCGAGTGGCACAGGGGGAATGAGCTGTCTGCACTCAAGGACCAACAGACCAAATTCCATTTGCTGTACATGAACCCAGTGGCACAAGCAGCCAGAGGGGGGCTGGAGGGTCCCACGGGGTGTGCAGGGGATGGGATCACAGGGGAGTATCTCTGGGGTGCTGTAGAACTGCTTGCTACAGCGAACAGCATTGTACTACAAAGAGTCATTTGAGCCAAACCCCGGACCTTTTAGCAAAAAGAAAATCAGGAATATGTGAACCGTCTGTTCTGTAAAGAAATAACCTTCAGGGTTTCCTCTGCTGCAACCTCAAGAAATTCCACAGCTGTTGCTGCGTGGGAGGCAGCCCGGGGAGCATTTCCCCCCTCTGCATGGGGCTGATGCTCAGGGCTGGCTGCAGACCCTGGCTGGGCAGGGCTGTGCGGAGCAGCACACGCTGCAGCCCCCCTGCCCCACGCACCCAGAGCCCCTTGCTCCGTCCCCTTCCCTGTCTGCTGTAAATGTTACTGAATACTTACAAATCTCTGTGTTTTCCAGAGGGTCTGAGACCTCAGCAGCCCCACCCTGGAGGCCTCTGGAGCTGCTTGAAGCACTCTGCAAGGGGCAGAGGGGATGTGCCAAGAGGCATTTGCTACTCCTGGAGGTTATTTTCTACTCCTAATTAATGCAGAAAACATGCGGGTTTGCCAAGGGAGTCAAAATATTCCTGTTTTCAGGATCCTGGACAAGCAAAGGAAAAGCAACACAGACTCTTCTGAATGTCTGCAGGCACCATCTCCCTGTGCCTGGCTCCTGTTTAACACCTACTGGGACTGTTGGGAGGTTCCTGCCCTGCCTGTGGCTGCTGGGGACACATGAAGGGCTGAGCCACAGCCCCTGCCCAGCTCCTGCTGCTCCTCCAGTGACACAGCCCAGCATGGAGAGCCCCACCGCAGGGACACAGGGACCCCCAGATCGTCCAGGGCCAGATGTGGGACAAGCAACGGAGCACTCGGGGCCCGTGTCTCTCCCTGTGTCCCATCCTGGGCCGGAGCAGGGAGCTCTGGGAAGCACTGGGGAGTACTGGGGCCCTGTGTCAGACCAGAACAAGGAGCTGTGCCGCCCCTCCTGGTGCCCTGGCCCACACTGGAGTAGGGAAAACCAGGCCCTGCCAGTGCCCCATCCCAGGATGTCTCCCCATGCCCCATCCATCCAGAGCGAGGAGCACTGGAGAGCTGTTTCTCTCCTGTTGCCCCATCCCAGGCTGGAAGGGGAGCACTGGGAAGCACTGGATCCCTCCCAGTGCCCTGTCCCGAGATGGAGAGGGGAGCTCCCGGTGCCCCGTCCCAGGCTGGTGTGGGGAGCACTGGGGAGCAGTGGGGAGCACTGGGGTGCACCCTGGTGTCCCGTCCCTGGGCAGAACGGGCAGGGGCTGGGATCCCGGTCCCTCCCAGTGCCCCGTGCTGATCCGGAGTCCTTGCGGGTGTGAACGGGGCGGTGCGGGGGTGAGCCGGGTGGTGCAGGGTGTGAGTGGGAGGTGCGGGGTGCACGGGGAGGTGCGGGGCTGAGCGGGGCGGTGCAGGGTGTGAGCGGGGCGGTACGGGGTGTGAGCAGGGCGGTGCAGGGTGTGAGCAGGGGTGCACGGGGCGGTGCAGGGGGTGAGCGAGGGCGGTGCAGGGGGTGAGCAGGGGGTGAGCGGGGCAGTGCAGAGCAGAGCAGGGCGGTGCGGGGGCGGTGCAGTGCAGGGTGTGAGCGGGGCGGTGCGGGGCTGAGCGGGGCGGTGCAGTGCAGGGTGTGAGCGGGGCGGTGCGGGGCGCGGAGCGCGAAGATGGCGGCGGGCCGGCGCGCCCCCCGCACCGGGCTGCTGGAGCTGCGCGGCACCGGCGGGCAGTGGCTCCGCGTCCTGCTCACCCTGGCCGAGGACGTGCTGGGGGTCAGCCCTGCCGATGGCCCCGGCCCCGGCCCCGAGGCCCCGGCGGCAGCGCAGCTGAACGGCGGCGAGCCGGGCTCCGCCGCGCCCGAGGCGCTCGCCAACATCAGGAGGACCGTGCGCGTCGTCAAGCAGGACGTAGGGGGGCTCGGCATCAGCATCAAAGGTGAGGCCGGCATGGGAGGGGGTCTCGGGGCGGCGGGCACGGGGCGGCACCGGCACCGCGACCTGTTGCTGCCGCCGTCCCGCGGCTCGCTCGGGGCTGGGGTCGGGGTCCTCACACCCCTCCAGCCTCTGCGCGGGGTGGGGAGGGGGACGCGTGGCACTGACTGGACCCTGTACGGAGAGAGACGTGCTTGGGGGTGCCAGCCCTGCCCGCCGTGCCCCGGCCGGAGTGGAGGTCCCCGGCGTTTGGGAGCTGGAGGGGACGGATTCCCACTGTCCCCCCGCGCCCACGGGTAGGGTGCGGTCTCAGGAGGCAGGTGGGACGCAGAGGGCACCCAGTTATACAAAAGCTACCCTTTTGCAGCCACAGCGAGGGCTCTGCCAGCGTGTCCTTGTCCCCCCGTGTCCCTGAGCTGGGAAATGCCCTTTTAAACTATCAGATAAACGATGTAAAGCCCTTGGAGACCTCCAGGCTCTTTGGCGGGGGGGGAGGTGTTAAACCAACGCACTCGGGCTTAGAGGCATCTGCTCCCGGGAAGCTGAGCAGAGGGAAGCCTCCCTGTTATAATCCCTGTTTTCCTTCCCAAGCTGCCTTGGTGGGAACTTCAGGCTGGAAACTTTTTGGGGCAGGGATGGCGTTCCTGGCGTCCTGCCCGCCTTTGCTTTTCGCGCGGCTGCGAGCGTGGCGGAGAGGAGGACGAAAAGGGCAGCAGAGAGGCAGGGTTTGTCACCGAGGGGCCGTAACTCCGCGTGCGGGCAGAGCAGGCAGCGGGCTCGGCAGCCCCGGGGGCAGCAACAGGGCAGCTCTCGCCTCCTGACGTGGCTTCTCCTCACAGCTCAGAGGAGACGGACGCAGCCTCCGGCTCCCTCTGAAGTCGGGAGGTTTTGCAATGTGGATGCCTGGGTGCTGGAACTGGATCGACACTGCTGGCCGTGTCTCCAGGGTGCCCCAGCCTGCCAACCCTTTGTTTTTTTTGGAAGCATAAAACCCCCTTCGTAACGACCCCTTGGCTGCCAAGTTACTGCTTTCTCCGTGGCTCTCCCAGGAAAGGAGAAACTACACTTGGTTCAGTCAAGACTTTATTTCTGCGGTGACGTATGTGGACAAGAAGTTAGTTGCCATCAGAACTGGGCAGTAGAAGGTGTTGTGAGTGGTGGGGCAGCTCTGGTAGGGCAGGACGTCGTTCCTCCTCTGCAGGCTGCTGGCACGTCCCTGTTTGTGCTCTTGCCAACCGCGTTTCACCCGGCGATGCTTCCCGGCCAGCCGGGCCGTGGGTGAGGTGTCCTGCCATGGGGCGTGGTGAGGGTCTGAGTGCCGTGGGTGCTGGGCTGGCAGGACAGCAGGGAGCTGAGCTTTGAGCTGTGCTGGCCGAGGCTCTGGGCCCTGGCAGGACTCTCGGTGCTGGCAGCTGGGCCGGGAGCCGCTGCCTCAAGGACGGAGCAGCCCCCGCCGGGGCCTCTGACAGCTGATAACCGGAGCCCTCGCAGGGCTTGGCAGGCGGCTGAGCGAGGAAATGCCTGTGGCACTGGCTGGGAGCAGCCCCGGGGCGGGCAGTGACAACAGGCTGGGCTCAATCTCTTCCTCTGGGGTGAAGATCATCCCTTGGAGGCTCCTCGGGACAGGCTGTCCTGGGGCACAGAGCACGTCGGGGGCTGCTGATCCCCGGCTGCCGTGGGCAGTGGCCGCTGCATCCCTGCTCCCTGGCACGGAGGCAGCTTGGATCTCCCGGCGGGTTCAAAAGTTAACGTGCAAATTGATCTCCTGAAGCCGCCGGGAGTTTGAATAGCATTCTTTTAGTCAGGAGAGCAGCAGGTAAAACAGGGCTGCTGTGCTGAGAGGAGCACGCAGCCAGGTTGGTTCACCTCTCCCTGACTCTTCGGCCTCTCCAAAAACGTTCAGCTGTCTTATCTGTTGAGATCATGAAGTCCTTGGAGCAAGGATAATCTCTCAGCACACATGATTAATAATGCAAATAAAGACATGCTTTCCTGCCAGAATTGATGGGGAGATGGCCAGGTTTGCGTGTTCGCTCTGTGACTAAACTGTTACCATTCCTAGTGGTTTTGGAGCGATCACTTCATCTGCTGTGAAGCCTCGTGGTACTTTGGCTGCTGTGGTTGGTACAGGTGTCCTGTGGGCATCTGAGGGAATGAGCAGGAGGTTGACCCAGCGCAACTGAGTGCCAGGAGAAGGGCTCAGCCTCACCAGGGCCATCTGGTACTGGAGCATCCCCCTCCCCACCTGCTCCTCCGTGAGCTCCAGCAGCCACAACCGCTTCCTGTCTCTTCTGTTTCAAGGTGGCCGAGAGAATAAAATGCCCATCTTGATCTCCAAGATCTTTAAGGGGCTGGCAGCGGATCAGACCGAGGCGCTGTACGTGGGGGATGCCATCCTCTCCGTCAACGGCACCGACCTGTCTGAGGCCACGCACGACGAGGCCGTGCAGGCCTTGAAGAAGACGGGCAAGGAGGTGGTCTTGGAAGGTAAGAGACAAGGGTGCAAGGGGTGACAAGGGTCCTTCTGTACTGGGATGGCACTGGGGTGGCCTATCAGACGTGTGTGCCACTGCTCAATGTCCAGCAGCTCTGTCTCCCTGCTCCGGGACTGGGGGCACGCAGTGGTGGGAGGTGTGGGACAAGTTTCTGGGGTTTTGGACTGTCGTGTTGCACAGCATCACCCCAAGGTCTGCACATATGTCCATGTTTGCCCACCCTCTACCAGCTTTGCCAGGCTGGGATGAGCACCCCATATTTATCCTTGAGGACAGGACCCTTCCCCTCCCCTCTCTTCCAACCAGCCCGTAGGGTTGCCCTGGTTAACCATGAGGGATTTGACACCAAGATCCCAAAGGGAGGTTTGATTTGGGGGCAGCTCTCTGGGCTGTCCCTGGACAAAGAAAGAGTTCTGTGTGCTCTGCTGCCAGCAACCACTGTGGCTCCTGCTTTCCTGTGCCTTCCTCAGATTGTCTCAGCTCCAGATTTTTGTTTTTAGCTTCGCTCAGCCCTTTCTGCTGTGGGTTTCTCCTCTCCTGGGAGCTGCAGGACCACGATTCAGACCGAGGAATGTGCTGCTCTGCACAGCTGCTGGGAGTAGATAGGGTTGTTGGTGGGATGATTTTGTTGGTTTTTTTTCTGACCAAAGAGAAATACAAGAGCTTCTTTCTTTGTGAGTCTGCAAAATTCCTCCCCGTAGCTGCTGTTCTTGGACCACCCTCTCTTTGTTGTTTTCTGTCCATCCTTTACTTTGGTGTGGGTTTCCTTTCTGTGAGAGGCCCTGCCAGAGGTGGAGATGAGCTGCCCTTTCTGTAGAGAACAATTTCTCTCCCTGGACCACCCCAACCTCCTCCTCCTCCTTCTCTATTCCCTGGGAGCCAGGCACTGCCAGGTTGCTCTCCCGTGAGGCAGCTGCAGGCAGGGCCTTTACTGGAGCTCACTAAGCTCAGGTGTGACCTGCAGGGCTTCTTAATTAATTAAAACTCCCAGCAGGTACCTTGGGAGAAGAGTGAGGCAGGGCTGGTCCCCACCACAGCACTCTGGAGGCTCTGGGATAAGTTGGTAGCTGATGCTGTTGGAGTTCTGCACTGTGGTGTTGCTTGGGATGCTCCAGGCAACAGCTGGGGCAGGAAAGGGATCTCTGCTGCTCATCTGATCACAAATGTCACCTATAAACCTGGTGCATCTCCATGCCCTCCCTGTTCTGGGTTTGCTGGCACAGCACAGCCCTTCCTGTGGAGGATGGCTGGGCTGGCACTGTGCCGGGGTTCCTGTCAGGCTGGCACTGCCCCATGGAGTTGGTGGCCCTGCCTCAGGAAAGGGTGTCCCCTACCTTGTACCTGCCATCCTGGTGGCTCTCCAGGAGCTGCTTTGCCAAGCATCCTGCCCTGGGGAGGGGTGGCAGGGCTGGGGGCAGGGGGTGTCCTTAAGGTGCCCAAAGGGTGTTACAGGGGTTCCCTTCTCTCTTCTCCTGCTTGGACTCACTCTAGAGTTTGGAGAAAAACACCTTAACATCACTTAGACACTTCCTGGTCCCTGCATGCTGCCAGGTGTGACTCCAGCTTTCCTTATGGCGCTGTAAGTATCAAGACAGAGTAGTTTGGCACAGCCAATGTCTGCTACCTTGCTCTTTCTGGCTGCAGTCATTCCTGGGATTAGGAGTTTTTTGGATAGCTTGCAAGTGCCACCGTGACAGGTAACAAATCTGGGAGAGCTGGCACCTCCTTACAGGGCGGTGAGCTGGGGTGGGACCCTCCAAAGCAGCAGGGTTGGGAGGTGATGCGTTTTAATTTGAGGATCAGCAGTGGCTCCACGTGCCAGATCTCACCCCGGGCTGCTGAGCTCGGCTTCTGGCTCCTGGGTTGTCATTGCTGCCCAGGCGTGAGGACACGCAGATACCTTTCGGTTAATCCTGCCAAGATTCTTTTTTGGATGTGCCAAACTACTCCCTTGATATTTGCAGGAGGACTGTATTTATATTACATTGTTATTTCAGGGAGAGTTGCTCTCCCTTGCCTTATTTTTCCCTTGTGTTGTGTTTCTTTTTTTTTTTTTCATTGCTTGGAATCCAGAGATTTTCCATGGCAGGGGAAAGGCTGATAAATATCCTTCCAGCTACCCTGGGAAGGGCTTTGGTGACAGGAGTGGTTTTCCTGGTGAGGCCCCTGTGCTGTATTGTCATGGAAGGGAGAACTGGGAGCAGTGGGGAGGAGTAGCTGGGGCAGCCTTGGGCATCTCAAATCTGTGGCAGCTCAGGGCTTGTTGGCCACAGGGATGCTCCTGGGGCTGTTGCAGCTCTCCAAGACTTGCTTGGCCAAGAAATAGCCTGGAAGCCTGAAATTCAGGAAAACAAAAGGGTGCCAGGAGAGGGTGGGGCTGGGGATGCCCAGCTCCCTCAGGCTGATTGCCATAACTTGGATGGAATCCAAGCAGAAACAGAGGCTTTGGACCTGCCCTGGAGATGATGTAGAGAGGATGAGGGTCCACATCCTCCTCCCTCCTCCACACCTCACTGCTCTGAAGCTTTGCTTTCCTTGTGGAGTTTTCAGGGTTGTTTCTCCTCCCATGGAAACAGAGGAGGTCATCCCATGATCTCCCTGGGTCCCTGCTGACCATGCAGCACAGAGGAATATTTAGGGGCATGGGATGTGTCACTGAGTGCTGGGACAGGGTCCTGGGGCAGGAGGGACAGCAGTGGCACCTCACCCTGCAGCAGTGCCTTGGAGTAGCTCCCTTCTCCCTGGAGCAGAAGGGCTTGAGCTGAGGCAGCTGGGACCAGGAGCTGCTGCTTTGTTCATCCCTGGAGCCAGGGGCAGGAGATGGTCCCTGGGGGGAATGCAGAAGGGACTGTTGAGCATTTTGGAAGCACATCAGAGCATCAGCTTGAACTCTACAGGTCTCTTCAGAGTGTCTCTTTGTGGGGTGTGTTTGCTGAGCCCCCAGTTTAACATGATAGTCTTGCATCATCAGTCCTGAGGCAGAGAGGGACCAGCTGGAGACTAGCTTAGCATCTCCATAGGGCCAGAGCTGGATCTCCAGGACCTCTCTGGAAGGCTTCCTGATGTACAGGTGACTGGCTGGGCTGTGTAGATACTGCTGGGAAGATTTTGGCAGGAGAAACAGCAATACCCATCCTACCCCTGATGGGCATTGCAGCCTGGAGCCTCTCTGTTGAATCCATGCTGTGATCTCTGGGCTGGAGCAGAGTGTGCCAGCACCAGGCTGATGGCCCAAGCAGCAGGAGGGTTCTCTTGAACTTGGGTGTCCATGTGGCTGGGACTGTTTTCCTGCCTGGAGGAGGTTTTGTGGCTCCTCAGTGAAGCTCTCTGGAGTCAGGAGCTTGGTTTTGGTCATGCTGAGCCATGGGAGGTGTGTGGGGCACATCATGCAGGCTTAGGATTGAGGGTGCAGGAGTGTTTGGTTTGTGATTATTCTTCATCCTTAGGAGGAGAAGGAGAATTTGTAGCCAAGAAGTAAAACCAAGGAATTTTGATGGTTCTGCCCTTTCTGGCTTGCTGAGGAGAAAAAACCCCAACTACAACACAGAGGGAAGAGCAGGGCAGACAGGGGGCCTTTGGTTTACCATGTCCCTGCTGCAACACGCTGCAGGGTTCAGGGCACATGTGATGCTCTGGCAATGCCCCTGTGCCACCAGCCCCCTGCAGAGGCACCGTCCTGGCATGGGTGGCCACGAGCCCAGAGACTTCTGCTGTCCCCCAAAAACCTAAAATAAAGCATTCTTCAGTGCAAAGCCCTGAGCAGTTAAAGGCTTTATTTGTCCCATCTCCTCCATCCTGGAGAGGATCAGTGGGACAGGCTGTCTCTCCTGAGAAGTGGAGAGCCCATGTGGCTCAGGGGGCTGTGTGGGTTAGCCCAGCAGCCACCCAGGGCTGTGTGCCTGCTGAAGGTGGCTTTAAGTCAACAGCAGTGAGGCGGTCTTTCTGCCAAGTGGTTTTTGGAGGGTGCAGGCTAACAAACAAGGAGCAGGCAGGAGCTCCAGCAGTGTTAGTTAGAAGGAAGAAATAATTCAGGAATTAGGGTTACTGGCAGCAGAGGTGATATGTAATATGGTCTGAGTTGTGTGCTTTAATGAGATGGAGGTAATTAATTAATCCATTCAATACCAGCTGCAGTGAAGGGATGGCAGAAGTGTAAGTCACCTGCTATAGAGCCAATGCTGGGGTCACTGGAGGAGACAGCAGCTCCCATGGGATCATGACTCCAGAGACCACCACAGCTTCCAGCACATCCCAGCTCGCTGTGCTGGCTCAGGACCCCCAGCGCTGTGGGAACCTGTTGGTCCTTCTTGGCCTTAAATCCTCCTTAAAGCCACACACCAGAGCCACACACACACACTGGCCGTTCCCTAATTGCCTGTGCCCCATCCTGGGCTGGGCGCTGCTCCTCCCCTCCGTGGCTCCATCGGGACGTGACCCCACCGTCTCCCAGCGAGTGCCGGTGACGTCCCCCGAGTGCCCGGCGAGCCAGGGGCTGGCGCGGGGACGGCGCTCGGGTTTCAGCAGCTGAATGATATCTTTCTGAACTCCAATTAGTTCCCAGGCACCGGCATAATGGGCAGGTCCCCGCTGCCAAGATTAATGGCTCGGGCAGGATCCCGCGTGGCTGGGATGCCTGCGGGAATGCAGTGCCTATTTATAGCGGGAGGCGCAGGGCACGGGGCTGGTGGCCCCGCTCCGCCGCCTTGGCCCCGGGGCCACCGCGGGCTGGCCCGGCCCGCGTGTCACAGCAGCGTGGCCTTTTATAGCTGTGTCCTGCGGGGCTCTGCCTCCCCGCAGCGCCCGCGGGGCGTCTGGGTTTAGAGGTTTTAGGGAGCTCACTGGGATGGGAATGAAGGGGGAGGTCACAGAATGGCTGTTCTGAGTTGGAAGGGACCCCCAAGGATCATCGAGTCCAACTCCTGGCCCTGCACAGGACACCCCAACAACCCCACCACATGCCTGAGAGCGTTGTCCCAATGCTTCTTGAGCTGTCAGGCTTGGTGCTTCCCTGGGGAAGATGGGTGGGAGGTGGGTGGTGGTGGGCAGGTGGGGTTTGAGGGTGGAGGGCTCTGCGTGCAGACCCTCTCCCGGTGGGAAAAGGGCTCCTTCCTGGCACCTCAGGCTGCCGTGGCTTGGCTGCAGCGATTGGAGCTGAGCCCATCCAGCCACCTACAAGTGTCGGCTGCAAAGCCAAGCTCGTGTCCCCACTCCTGCCACCCACTCTGCTGACTTGGAGCTGGAGTGGGACCAGCAGGGACGGCTGGGGACGTGGCAGCAGGCACGTGTCTGCCCTGTGCTGTTTTCCCCGAGCGCCTCCAAAGGGAAGCCCTTTCCCTGGGGCCACTTAGCTGGTTCCATGTTCCCCCAGGGCCGGACCAGGACTGGCATCCTGCCTGCTCAGCCAAAGTTTTTTTGGCCAGTGTTGTCGAACTCATTCTCAGGATGTAGCTGTGGGGGCCCCATCAATTTGTGGTGCCTTTCATCTCCCCCTCCCCTTAAACCTCAGGAGCCGGCTGCCATCCCAGCATGGTTCTGAGGGCTCTGGCTCCAGAGCCAGGCTCGCTGGGGACTGAAAGCTGATTTCTTGTCCCTGGTTTGAAGCTCATGGGGCAGGGTTGAGCTCTGAGCACGCACTCTGTGGCTTTTCCTGGGGCCAGGCCAGGGTATTTGAGAGCTGTTACTCAGTTGGCAGCAGGACTGGCTGTACCAGCACAGTTTGGACTGTGTAATTTTGGCCTGGGACTCTTTCCCATTCCCCACCCCTGCCTGTGTGTGCTGCCCCGGGGGCCTGATCAGGCTTGGATCTGTGAACTGATCTGGGTTAAAGGGAAGAAAAAAAAGGGCACAGGCCATTTTTATCCCTCTTGAGGGGGCTTCCTGTGCTGGGATGGTGGGGCACAGGTACTGGGAGGGTCCTAGGTGTCATATGGGCGTGGTGAGGCCCTGGCACAGATTGCACAGAGGAGCTGTGGCTGCCCCATCCCTGGAAGTGTTCAAGGCCAGGGTGGATGGGGCTTACAGCAACCTAAGATGGTGGAAGGTGGAGTGAAGCAATGTGATCTTCAAGGTCCTTTCCAACCCAAACTGTTCTGTGATTCTGTGTCCCCCTCTGGTGTGACCTCATCCTCCACAGGGGTGCAGGGCATAGGACCCACAGCACCCACGGGTGACATCTCTGGAGGTAACGGAGGGGACATGAGCTCCAGTGAAGGGAGGGTGCAGGGGGTTTCAGCGGGACAGGATGACACTGGCCTGTGCCGTGCCCTCAGCCGGGTGCTGCCTCTCTTCCAGTGAAGTACATGAAGGAGATCTCCCCTTACTTCAAGAACAACCCCGCAGGGGCCACGGTGAGCTGGGACCCGTCTCCCGGCGCCCCACAGAAGCGATCCTCCCCCGTCCTGCCCCCTCGGGAACTCCGGGAGGGCCGCACCGTGCCGCTGAAGATGTGCTACGTGTCCCGCAAGTGCCTCCCCACCGACCCGGAGCACAGGTCAGCGCGGGGGGCCGAGGGGTGGCGATGCCACCGCGGTGCCCCGGGGGTGGGAAAGAGGCGAGGGCCGGCGGGGACCCAGCGGGGCCGTGTCCCGGCAGGTACCTGGAGGTGTGCTCTGCGGACGGGCGCGTCGCCCTCTTCCTGCGGGCGAAGGACGAGGCCACGGCGCAGTCCTGGCTCGGCGCCATCCAGGCCAACGCGGGCGCGCTGCTGCCGCGGGTGAAGGAGGAGCTGCGGGCACAGCTGGCGGCCGCGGGCACGGCGGCCGGACGGGATGTCAAGCACGTGGGCTGGCTGACCGAGCAGGTAACCCCCCCTCCCTACGCCCCAGGAACCACCCCGTGCCAACCATGCCGGTGGCCCTGACCCAGTCGCTTTGCAGCTCCCCAGCGCCGGCACCAGGAACCTCCTGGCCGTCCTCACGGAGAAGGAGCTGCTGCTGTACGGCAGCCTGCCCCAGAGCCGGGATGCCCTGGGCAAGCCCACGCACAGCTACCCCCTCATCGCCACCAGGTAGGGACCACCGGCCCGGTGCGCTCCCGCCCTGCACGGGACAGGGTGGTGGCAATGTCTGGGGGGCAGTGGCAAGGGCTGGCAGTCAGGACAGAGCTCCAGGGGTGGTGGCTGTGACCGGAGATGGTGGCAGTGACCAGAGGTGGTGGCAGGAGCTGGGTGTCAGGGCAGAGCCCGGGGCTGATGGCGGGGGCTGGTTCTGGTGGTGGCAGAGGCGTTTGAGGTGACGGAGTCCCGGGGCGCTGGCAGGGCAGTGGGGGGATGATGGCAGAGCCCTGGGCGTGATGTTGGCAGGGCACTGGGGATAGCGACAGTGTCCAGGGGTAGTGTCAGGGCGCCGGGGACGGTGGGCTCAGAGCCCCGAGGCTGGTGCGGGGTGTCGGTGCTGGAGGGTGGCAGTGTCCCAGAGTGGTGACAGTGTCCCAGGGTGGCGCAGAGCCCTGGGGCTGGCTCAGGGGCTCAGTGCGGGGGCGGTGGTGGTGGCAGTGAAGCGGGGCCGGTGCGGGGGCTCATCCCGGGGCCGGTGCGGGGGCTCATCCCGGGGCCGGTGCGGGGGTTCGGGCGCTGCGGGGGCTCATCCGCGGGGCTGCAGCGCCCCCTGCCGGCCCCGCCGCGCAGGCGCCGCGGTGCGGGATGCGGGGCTGCGCTGGGGCTGTGCGGTGCTGAGGTGCGGGGCTGAGGTGCGGTGCGGGGTGCGGGGCTGTGCTGAGATGCGGTGCGGGGTGCTGGGACGATGCTGAGGAGCGGTGCGGGATGCCGGGGCTGTGCGGTGCTGAGATGCGGTGCTGAGGTGGGGTGGGGGATGCGGGGCTGGGTCTGTGCTATGCTGAGTTGTGGTGTGGGGTGCCGGGGCTTTGCGGTGCTGAAGTTTCGTGCTGAGGAGCAGTGCGGGGTGCTGGGACGTTGTGGGGCGCGGGGCGGGGGCGGCACTGGGTTGCGGCGCGGGGTGCGGTGCGGGGTGCGGTGCTGAGATGCGGTGCAGGGGTGCGGGGCGCGGCGCTGAGCGGTGTCCCTGGCGCAGGCTGGTGCACTCGGGGCCGGCGAAGGGCTCGGCGCTGTACGAGGCCGAGCGCTCGTTCGCGCTGCGTGCCGGCAGCCGGCTGGGCGTGCAGACCCACCTCTTCAGCCTGGAGAGCCCCCGGGAGCTCGCCCTGTGGACGCGGCTGCTGGTGGACGGCACCCACGGCGCCGCAGAGCTGGCCCAGGAGGTGTCGGCAGGTCAGCGGGGGGCCGGGGGAGCCGGGCGGTGCGGGGGGACCCCCGGCTCACCCCTGTCCCCTCCCCGTCCCCAGCCTGCACGTGGAAGGGGCAGGAGTGCACCCTGACCGTCCACATCGACAAGGGCTTCACGATCTCCACCACGGAGCCCGGGCTCAGCAAGACCATCCTGCTCCAGCAGCCCTTCGAGAAGCTGCAGATGTCCTCAGATGATGGCACCAAGATGCTCTACCTGGACTTTGGTGGCCCAGAGGGAGAGATCGTGAGTTGGCTTTGCCTTCAGCATCCCCTACCCATGCTCCAACCAGTCCCGGGGGAGAGGGGGAGCAGAGCACCTGCCTGGGGCTCAGCACCCATCCTGCCATGCATGAGGGTGAGGCATGACCCATCCACCTGCCCCAGCCAGGGTGCACAGCTCTTCCCAGGGCCCCAGTAAGGCTGTGGTGGAGCTTGGGGCTGAAAGCTGCTCCAGGAACAGCCTTCCCCTTTGCAAACACCCCTCCCTTCCTTTCTTGCAGCAATTGGACCTTCACTCCTGCCCTAAAACCATCGTCTTCATCATCCACTCCTTCCTGTCGGCCAAGGTGACCCGGCTGGGGCTGCTGGCGTAACGAGGGAGCGGAGCAGCCCAAGCCCCCGGCCCATCTATGCACCTCCCTCCTGGCCCGGCCCAGCCCCAAGCCATCCCAAGGAGACTGGAGCCCCTGTGGGATCACACCACCCCCACCAAGGAGAAAAGCACCATCCTGCTGGGAAAACCCCCTCCTGGGGCGTCTGGGTGAAATCCCCCTTGGATGGCAGCACTGGGACTTCTCCGGTCCCTTCTTCCCCTCCTTCCTAAGCAGCTGCAGAAGCCCAGTGGGAGCCCACGAGAGCGGCAGCAGGGCCGTCACCCCAGTGCCTTGAGAGATGATATTTTGTGTACAAAGAACCCGTTTGTATCCATGTTTTATATTTATATCGCCCACTTAAAAACGCTGACACAGCAGCTCTTCCCCACCTGGCTCGGATTCCCCCAGGAGAGTCCCCCAGGTCGTGCAGCACGAGGACACGTGTCTGTTTTCCAGGCAGGCAACCAAAGGGCTGGAGGCCAAAGCCAGCCCCAAAGTGCTTAAGAGATGGGAACTGCAGATCAGCTGTATTTGCCAAATTTCTCCCGTGTTGTACGAAGCGATAGGAACCACTTTTGTGTGTCGGGATTGGACAGCGCGTTTGGTTTTGCTCACTCTGGAGTCACTTTATTTCTCGGTTTGTTGAGGGGGGGAGGGTTGTCAGGTGGCTGCTGCGGAATAACTTCTTCTGTGAACCAAAAGATTCTGCATGAAAATGCCTTTTTTTTTGGGGGGGGGAGGGGTTTGAATAAACCTTGCAGATCACAACCAGCAGGAGCCAAGGTCCATCTCCTGATTTCACTTGGAGGAGTAGAAAGTCATTTTGTGGACGATGCCTGGGCTCGGGGTGTTTTCACCAGGGGAAGGCAGGAGTTCATATGGAGGCTGTGGGGCTTTGCTGTGAGCTGCTGCTGGTCTGGGAGTGCTGGGAACACTATGGGAGAATTCAAGCAGGGACAAAAAGGTTGCTCAGAGCTCCATCTGGCCTGTCCTTGAACAATTCCAGGGATGGGACATCCACAGCTGCTCTGGGCAACCTGTGTCAGGGCCTCACCACCCTCACAGGAAAGAAGCAGCACAGGAACATCTTATTTGGTGTAAATAAATAGTTCTTATGGGGTGCATCAGGACTCAGGTGCATCAGGTGCTCAGCTCTCGGTGAGACAGGGTGATGGAGAGGAAGGGGATGTCCCAGCACAGCCCCATGCCTGGCAGCAGGAATCTTTTATGATGAACAAGCCCATAGTTTTTATTACACAGAACTGTCAGATTTCCAGGAGACCTCGCAAAATGGATTTGCAAGAGGGAAAAAAAGATCCCCCCTCACGTTTCTAACTGTTAAATCAATACAAGTAATTTAGAAACAGATAGTGTATTTTCTATGATCAAAAGCGTGTCTGCACAAGGAAACACGTTATTACTGCAATTTGCCTTTCACTTCTTGCCCTACAGCCATTACTCTTTGGGGTTCATTGCAATAAAAGAGGGAATCACTCCCAATCCAGAGCAGATTTCCTATTAATCTTGCAGAACACAAGCTGTCTTTACTTCCCCAGTGCAGCTCAGGCTCTATCCCACTCCATGCCTGGACTGTGAAGGAAATAGCTCAGTTTGGAGATGGATATTCATTTTCTTGGATTTCTTTGCATTTGATATTGGTGATGGTGTGAGGACTTTTTCTCCTCCTGTATTTTTGGAGGTTTCTGAGCCTCTTCATCCTTCTGGCACCACCCTTTGCTTTATGGGACCCGTTCCCCAGGGATGCTCCTGCAAAGGGGCCTGTGAATAAGACAACTGCTTCTTACAGTAAGGGTTTGGAGCATCAGGAATGGCTGAGGGAGCTGGGGGGGGCTCAACCTGGAGAAAAAGAGTCTCAAGGGGACCTTCTCACTCTCTGCAACTCCCTGACAGGAGGGGGGAGCCAGGTGGGGATCAGGCTCTGCTCCCAGGGAACAAGGGACAGGACAAGAGGAAATGGCCTAAAGTTGTGCCAAAGGAGCTTTAGGTTGGATATCTGGGAAAATTTCTTCACTGAAAGGAGTCTCAGGCATTGGAAGAGGCTGCCCAGGGCAGTGGTGGACTCCCCATCCCTGGAAGGATTCAAAAGGCGTGTGGATGTGACACTTGGGGACATGGGGCAGTGGTGGCCTTGGCAGTGATGGGTTGATGTTGGACTCGATGGTCTTAGAGGACTTTTCTATCTAAACTCCGTGATTCTGTTCCTCTGAGTGATGTGGGACCTTGTAAAACAAGCCACACAGAAAAAGAGGATAGAAACTGCCTCCCCAGGAGAAACCCATGGCAACTGGAGACCTCTCCCAGAAACATTCAGACATCCTGAATCAACACTGAATTTCCCTGGCCAGGAAAGATTTTGGGGTTGGCAACAGGGACCAGATCCCAGTGCAGGATGGCATCTGTATGGAGGAATGAGTGCTCCTGCTTGGGATCACCACAGTACTTCCCAGAGGGGAGGAACAGCATCTCGGGGTTCTGTTCTGCCAGGCACTTTTATGGCAGAAGGACTAATATTTTTGGAAGCAGCTTTAAAATAAATATAACGAACTCTGCTTTTAGAGCTGGGATGATGGGAACAGGCTCAGGAAAAAGCAATTTCCTCAGCTCAGTCTGAGGCGACTGGAGTTTTACTTGGCCACCATGACTGGAACAACGCGGGGAAAGGGGAAATTTAAAGGTGCTGCAAGTGTTGGAAAATGGATGGCAAATGGGAAAGGAGGAGGGGAAAAAATCCTGTTCTACTCTCTACATGGATCTCTTGGGATGCTGGTTGCCAGAGGGAGGCCAAAATGGGAATGGAAATGGATGCAGAGAAACTTTGGCACCCAAACCACTTTGGTGCCACCCATGGAGAGAAGTGGGTGATGGGGGTGGCTGCAGCCTGGCTCTGGTGCCATCCCTTTCCCTTTGGGAGCAAATCCAGCCAACCCATGGCGAGGTGAGCTCTCAGTTTCCTGCATGAGAGGAAACCCAGCGCTGTCGGCATCCCCCGCAGCAACGTCACAAGCAGGAGTTCTCCCCAGAAATGGCTTTTCCAGGTTGTAAGACCTGAAAAAAACATCCCTGAATGAAAGAGCCGGAGAGGGAAGAGAGAGATGCAGCGGGAAGAGTAATTAGGTTGTCCCCAGGTGTTTGCTCACCCACGGCAGAACACAGTTTCCCTCCCGATACCGCTTGTACTTTCCATTAGTCAGCCCTGACCTTTTAGCGCCGTAATCAAACAAGACAACCCAACACTTAAATCTGAGCGTTTAGCGCTGACATTTACAATCGCTTCTCGCGTTGGAGAGGCCAAATGAAAATTTCCTCGCAGACAGAACGCTGCAGGGCTGGGGAATCAAATCATTCCGTTGCTGGCTCGCAGGCGTGCCGGCCCCCTTCGGCTGCCCCACGCAGTGGGTGGTATTTGGACTAGAGCCTTGTCAGCACAAAGTCAATATTCACCTGGAGTTCGTGCATCCCGTGGACATCACCCGACTGGGGCACGAGGAAGCTGTATTTGGCATTTGATGTGGGTAAACGGGAGTGATCTGACACAGGCAGGAGCCCTGTGGGAGCGGGGAAGCTGCGTTAAATGGTGAGGATCCAAGGCAGTGATGAGGGTGTTTTCTCTCATTCAGCCTCGACTGGAATCCTTACCTGAAAAGCGAGAACTTGGTTCATCCCTTGGTGCATCCTGTGGCACATCCCTCAGTGCATCCCTGGACACATCCTGTGGCACATGCCGTGGTGCATCCCTTGGTTCATCTCTCAGTGCATCCCTTGGTGCATCCACAGCCCAACACGTGCCCTGTAGGGGCAGCTTGGCTGTGCCATCCCTGTGCAAATCCCTGTGCAAGGATGGGCTTTTCCAGCCTTGCCTCTGAGGGATCCAGGCCCTGAGTATTTACTGGTGTTTGCCTGGTGAGGATATAGGGCTGGTGGGATGCTGGGAGCCAGAACACCCACGGCAGACCCCAGATCCTGCACTGTGGCTCCCCTGGCTCGTCCTCACGCAGCACTGGCTGTGTCTTCTCCTCCCATGTGATAATTTCCTACTGGCGCCGCTTGATTAAGTGAAATCCATTCAGGAAAAGTCTGGACAAGGTTTCCCACACTGCTGCTCACCATGTTCAGTACTCCTCCTGCCTCCTCCAAACAGCAGCCAAAGCAGATGGGCTGCAAACCAGGACAGCACAGCTTCCCCTCCCCATTCCCAGGAACAGCCTTGTCCCATAAATAGGCATAAACAGTCCAAAATACTCTGAATCAGGACTCTTTTCTTCCTTTGCTAATACAAGGTTTGAATAAATCAATATTTTTTTTTTTTAAATGACAGAAAACAGAACTTCAGCTGTCCAAAACACTTGTTGTTGCTGTATTTTCCCAGTGTTGCTCCATGTGCTGCTTTCCTGTGCAGGGACATCCCATTGTGATTTGACATGAGAACTGGGGTCAGCATTTGTGTCTGCAGCTATAGATTCTTGGGGCTGTCCTGTGGAGGGCCAGGATTTGGACTCAGTGATCTTTGTGGGTGTCCTTCCAACTCAGGATATTCTATGATTCTATGAAAAAGATATATATATATATATATTTAAGTGTATATATATATTTAAAAAGTTCTTATTTCTCACTTTTATCACATTGCACCTAAAAATTGCACTTTAGCTGTGGTCAGCTCTCAGATGTGGGTTGGTGCTGGGGACATCCAGACACCCCATCCTGCTCCATGGGTGCTGCTGGAGGCCAGGGATGGGAGGCAAGGATGTACCTCCAGCCTGCAGGGTCCTCATTGCTGCATCCTGATAATTAATAATTTCCCTTGTGCCCACTGGGCTGCTGCTTTCTGCCATACTCCTCCTACTTTCACTCCTTATGGAAAAGACTTGTTCCCCCTTCCCTGCTCCCCAGTGCTGGGTGCTGTACTGGGTGCTGAGTCCTCTTCCAGCCACCTCCTGTGCCATCTTTGTGGGAAGAGAGTGTGGAATGGCACAGATGGTGAGAGAAATGAGTTGTGGGTCACCCCCTTCTCCCCTTGGTCAGAAGTAAAACAAACTGCGGGGGGGATGTTTAAATGTGTGGTGTTCTGAGGGAGAATCTCTCCCAAAACCCCGCTGGGCAGCCAGCGGTGGAAATTTTCAGCCACATCCTTGGGTGGGAATCTGCTTGTCTTGGGGGGGGTGACACAGAGCTGGTTGGTGTGGGAAGGGAAATGCTGTGCCCAGGTGAGACCCTCTAGTTCATTTGGAGCTTTTCCTCTCTGTTTTTGAGCACCACTGGGCCATCCCTTCACCCCTCTGTGCCTCCCTTTCTGGCAGCGCCACAAGGTGTAGCTGGGAACATAAACACCTTTTGCCTGGTTTCCCACCATCCCAGTTTCTCCACGGGGCTGGGCCCTATTTCCCTTTCCCAGCTGCTCTTTCCTTGCCATCATATACTCTCCAGGAGCTTGACATCCCTTCCCAGAACGCTCCTGCTCCAGCTGCAGGCGAAGGGGCTCTGAGCTTCCTTTCCTTCCCTTCCCTGCTGGCATCACCTGGGCATTTCTGTGTCCCAGCCATTGCACAGAGATTCTTCCAGCAGCCTCCTGAGCCCTCCAGGATGAAACACCATGAGGTACATCCTCATTTTTATCCTCCTCCATCTCTTAGCAGTCCCTCTGGGGGCTGTGGATGCTGCAGAGACCCAGGGGATGCCAGAGGAGATGGGCACAGGGGGCCCCTTGCACAGCTGCTGCTTGTGCTTCATGGAGGGCAAGGGGCTTGTCTGGGGCTTGGGGACACCATCTAAAGCACCTTCCACTCAGCTCTAGCCTGTGGACCCAATCTGCATCAGCATCTGCTCATTCAAGTTCATATAAACTGTTAAATCCACTCGGCACCTCACTGCAGCCATTTCCTTTTAAGACTTCAGTGGCAAACCTCTTGCCTTGTTGTAGGCAAATCTTGGAGGTTTTCTGGAGTATTTGCTCTTTTGGGAGTTTCTGTGTGGTGTTATTCTGCTTTCACCCATTTCTACTATTTTTAGTTAAAAATGGAATAACAAAAAAAGGCAGGAGTACAGAGGGAGGGAAGCAAATGGACTTCACACAGCATCTCTGGTCCTGCTGGGACAGAGGGAAATGAGCTCTCAGGTGATGCCTTGATCATCCTCCTCCCCACGAAACAAGGAGGCAGTGGTGAGGATACTTTCCCTGAAAACACAGGACAAATTCAGCAGAAAGCCAAAGTTTTTCACCTCAGCTCTGCCACTCACCTGCTTCAGGAGCAGGGATGGGCTGGCTCCGTGCCTCAGTTTCCCTTCCTGTACAACGGGCACGTTCCTGCTCCCTCCCAGTGTGTGTTGACAGCAGAAGCAGAGCCCAGTCCCGCACCATTAAGTATCCTAAGGCATGAAAGCTTTGGAAAAGTTCCTGTAATATCTCTGTGCATCCCTTTCCAAATGTAAATGTTACAGCACTCTTCTGGAAGGAAATGCTGGAGTAAAAAGCTGAATTGTTTTATCTGTGTCTGTCTGTCTGTCTGTCTGTCTGTCTGTCTGTCTCTCTCTCTCTCTAATCTATCCATCCATCCATATCTGAGTTTAATGTACCCATTTCCTTTACCTCTGTGTGTTCTCAAATAGATGAGGTTTCAAGAGGCTCAGGACTGGAAGGCAGCTCAATTGACAACCAGAATATAAAGGTCTGTTTTACAGCAACAAGATGAAAACCACAGAAAATTGGACTTGCTTTTATGACACTTATTCAAGAGTCCTGAACTCAAAACTGGGATTTTAATGTACGATGTGGTGAGATACAGATGAGACCCTTTCAGAGTTTCCATGTTTTTGTTATACTGTATATTATCAATTCTGCATGGTAGATTTTTTCCGCCCCCCAAAAAAATTCCTCCTGAAAGCAGAAGGTTGTTTCTGAAGGCTTTGCTGTACCGGTGACGTATCCATATGCAATATAAATAACCTGTTGTTTCAGAAGATGATAATGGGAGTAAACATCAAATTAAAAAAAAAAATAAAATCAAACCATTTAGATCAGGAAAAATAGCGGAATTTCCAACACCCAGAAAGCTCCTGCTCCAGCAAAGGGCACGTAGCCATAGCAACAGGAGCCCTCACTGTCACGATAATAAAAAAATGTATTATTCTAGGAGAGCTCTTAAAAGGGAAATATGCATTTCACTGAGGTGGGTGATGAAATATTGTGCAGCACAGAGAAGAAAGAGCCAGAGGAGTCCGGAAAGTGATCCTGGCAGTTCTGCTGCCTGCAGCAGGTAGGGATGGGGCTGCAGCCCCAGCAGGAGGATGGGGAGGCAACCCATGGCCACATCCAGGAGCTGGACTTCGATGAGCCTTGTGGGTCCCTTCCAGCTTAGGATATTCTGCGATCCAGGGCTCGGCTGCCTCCATCTCCTCCTGCATGTGACCAGAGACCCCCATGGAGGAGGTGAACCCTGCACCTGGAGCGGTGCAAATCCAGTGGCAAAGGCTGGAAATGGAGGGGCTGTGCTGGTGCAGGGCAGTGTGGGGTGCAGGGGAGCCCTGGGGGGTCCTGCTGGGGTCTGGTGGCAGCGGCAGCCACAGCCCCAGTGTCAGTAGGCACCGAGCATCCTCATGGCATCACATCCCCCTGGGTTGCAGGGGACACACGTGGCCAGCAGTGAGCAACAGCAGCTTTGGGGGAAAGGCTTGGAGTTTTTGGCAAAGAGAAAATTGTGGAAAACCAGCACACTGGCTGGACTTTCCCTGGGTTTGAATTTTGTAAAGAAGCTAAAAACAGGTGCTGGCAAGTCAGCATTTCCCCAGTGGTGAAAAAGGGATGTATTCCCAAAGTTTGCAGAAAACTTTGGGAAAAGGGGGAGGGGAAAACCCAAAAAGCTGTATTTCCCCCACAGGATACCCACGATTTTCTCCCCAGTGAGAAGCACAGGTGGGTGAGGGGCTCAGTGGAAAAGTCCAGGTTTCCAAACTGCAGTGGGCTCTGCTCCACACTCTGCCTGGGGTGGGAAGCAGGGTTGGAATACTCTGTGGAAAACACAATGTTCCAGGTGTGGAGCACCTGGCTGGACCTCCCTGTCCCCATACCCATGCCCTGGCATCCCCAGACAAGGGACATCTGGCTGCTGGGTGGTCCGTGAAGGAGCAGATCCTGCAGCACAGGAAAGGAGGGATGTCCTGGCAGCCACGGGTGCTGGGTCTGCTCAGCAGTTTGGGGCTGTTTCATGGCTCTCTCTGGGTTTTGGGGTGTTCAGTCTGGTGCATCTTGGGGTCCTGACTACTGACAGCACCAAGGTGTTGGGTAAAAACACCCCCTTGGGGAACATTTCTCTGGGTGCTCCCTGCAGGGTGGAGCAGGGAAGCTGATCCAGGAATGGAGAGATGAAGGGGAAAAAAAATCACCCAAAAATACAGGAGAAAAGAGGAGTGGCCCTGTCCCAGGAGCCCCAGGTGGCAGAGGACTTGGGGGTTAGTTGTATCCCCACTCACAGCCCACTTGGAGCTGCAGGGAGCTCACAGCTCGTGCTGCTTCCCACAATCTGGGGGAAACAACCTCTCTGTGAGTGAGCTCCCTCCCATCCAGGGGAGTGCCAGGGGCTCAGCATTGCTGTGCCTGGCTGGGTGAGGGCAGCTGGCCAGGG